CAACAACTCATCTCTTAAGAGGCATTTGGAAGATTGAAGAATGGAGACTGGATAGAGATAAAACCCAGAGACAGAAGAAGTTGTAATCTTGTGTGAGGAATGTGACACAAAGATGTCAGGGATCATCTATATACTACCTGCAGTATCATATCCAAAGGATATCGACAACCAGATTCAAGAGATGATAAATTTTATGGGATATGACATCAAAAAAACAAAATGCGTCATTTCCCATGGAGGAGTAGATAAATGACAAAAAGAAGAGAAATCCCACAGCAAAAAAACACAAAAAACCATGTTGATTGCCTTGAAAGGGAACAGTGTAAGCAAGACAACAGTAAATTGCTCTAAGAAGATGACTGTGGTATGAATGATCATATAGATAAAAATGGAAGAGAGGGTTATGGAAAAAAAACATTCAATCACCCTTCCAAACACACCAAGTCTTAAGAAGGAAAGAGCAGTTTGAGGGTGTCCAAAGTAAAAATATTAGAGTGATGTCTCCTACAAACAAAAAGAAGAAAAAATACATTATAAGAGAAAGATGGCATGGGTAACATGTGGCTGAAGGTTTGAACTTCAATTTGTAAGAGCTTTGACAACCAAACTGAGGTGACAAGTTTTTATATATGTATGGGCTGGATTCTTTACAGTAGGTGTCTGTGATTAGTTAGCAATAAATTTTGACAATAAAAAAAAATAGCCCACAATCCACTTGTTTTAAATTAATATATTAAAAACAATGAAACATACATACAAATGTTCGTTACACTGTTGGTTATCACAGCTGTATCCAGAGCTTTAAATAATTGTCTCTTTTTCATCAAAGTCTACACAGGCTGGTTCAGTTACTTTAGAATATAGTTTGACAAGACAAATTATTCTTCTCTACTCTGTTAGTACAATACAATATCTGTAATAATTTCATTTTAAAAATCACCACCAAATAGGGGCTTATAACATTCTACACACTATGAAATATTATGATGCAATAATAGTCAATTAAAACAAGGAGAAAAACTTAGAATGTTCTCGTAACATGATTCAATAATACAAGTGTCAATTCACAACAACTGAGCTAAGCAATGTATGATTTGTGCACTGTTGCGTAAACAAATCTGTGATATATTATTGCTCTAAAAACAACTAAATTTAAGAACACATGCTCTACTTAAATTAAAACAGTTGTGTACATCTAACACTAAGCCCATTTTCAAGAAATAAATTTAAAATATTTTTCATACTATATACAAATACTATTTCCAATTCCTGCCCAAAGTCTACTTATACAGTCTTTACCAACATTTGCAGTCCCCTTCATGGCTTCAATGCAAAACCTGGTAGTTCTGGAGGTACAACGGTTACCTCATGATCCTCACACTGTTGATTTTACACCTCTGGATGTATGCAAGGAACTGTGGTCCATCTGGATGATGAACCCCTTCCTGTAGAGGTGGTTCTGGAATTTCTGATGGCAAATATAATGGCCAGACATTCTCATTCAATCATAAAATAGTTCTTCTCACTACTCAACAGCTTTTTACTGATGTAAGTTACAGGAAACAGTCCGTCTACACGTTCTTGCAGAAGTAGTGCTCCAATTCCAATGTCTGATGCATTGGCCTGAACAATGAACAGTTTGTTGTAGTCTAGCATTTTAAGGATTGGTTAACTTTCTAACATATTCTTCAACTTCTGGAATGCCATCTGCTATGGTTGTTTCCACGTCACCTCGTTGGATTGGCCTTTCTTGGTCAGGTCAGTCAGTGATGCAGCAACTTCAGCATAGTTTGGCATGAACTTCCTATAGTATCCTGCTAATCTCACAAAGGATCTGACTTGCTGCTTGGTCGTCTAAGCTGGTGCATATTGTATGCGGGTTAGCTTCTACTTTTCCATGGCTATCTGTTAGTCATCCACCTTGTATCCAACAAAGTAAAGCACAGAATAATTGATGTAGCACTTAGATGGCCTGATGGTCAGATCTGCTGCCCTCACTTGCCCAAACAGCTCTCTGATTTTCTTCAGGTGATCTTACTATCTGGCTATGTGGGTTAGAATGTCTTCCACATAATGTTCAATGTTGGTGATCTTGTGCAATGTCTTTCTCATCATGTGGTTGAATGTTGCTGTTGAGTTGACTAACTCAAATGGCATCCTCTTGAATTAGTAGCATCCATCTGGTGTCACAAATGCTGTCTTTTTAGATTCTGTCTCCATCGGGATCTACCAACAACCTTTAATGAGGTCAATCTTGGTAAAGAAATTGGCTCTGTCTAATTTTGCTATGATAACCTTTGGTTTGCCCATAGGTTCAGAGACGAACTTTGTCACAAGGTTCAGTTTCCAGAAAACTTATGTAGAAGTGGTTTGAGCTGTCCCTCTTCTTCATGATTACCACTGATAAACAGTAGGCTGAATTCTAAGATTCAACGATTCCAGCTTCTAACATTACTTTGATCTCTTGCTTGATCAAGTCTCTCATTGCATAGAGCATCTGATAGGGCTTCACTTTAACAGAATTTCTAGTTATAGTCTCAGTCTTGAGTTGCACAAGGTCTATCTTGCCTGCTCTATCTGTGAAGACGTCTGCATACTGGCACAGTAGAACTTGCAGATCTTTCTTCTTTTGCCAGTAAGTTCTTCACTGATGTTGAGGTCTTTGTATGTTTCATCTCCACCCAGTCTAGTAGGTCTTCTATGACAAAGTCACTGTCTTCTGGTTCTACATCCATGAGAGCTACACTTGCAATGCCCATCTGTGCCTCAATAGCTACACCTATTAGGTCTTCCTTCCTCACTTAGTACCTCTTCAATAGACTGTCATGGTAGATCATGGTCTTCTCATCCACTTTCATTTTATAGTCCATTCTGTTGACCACTTCCTGCACTTCATAAGGCCCTTTCCAATGTAGGGTGAGGTTGTTATTGTCTGTAGTTAGCAGAACCAAGATGTTCTGGCTGACCTTGGAATGTTGATCCCTGGTCGTCTTTTCATAGAAGTGCTTCTCACTGCCTTGAGCTGCATACAAACTTTCTTGAATGAGTTGACAGGTCTCCTCCAGTCATTTTCTAAGGTCTAACATGTACTGGTAACTGGTATGTGTCCCTCACTTCTGACTCTTCTTCCCCTGTCCACAATTCTTTCAATATCTGCATAAGACCTTGTAATTAAATTTTATAACTAGCTGAAATATCTGTTCCCTGGATGGAAGTTATGTAAATTCATGATTAATGAAAAGATAACTGAGGACATTAAAAGTTGCTTCCCTTACATGTAATTGTAAAAAATGCCCATAAAAACTGCAAAACACAAAATGTGAAACTACAACTTTGCATGGAACTCTGCATGGACCCAACAAACCTTCAAGTCAAATGTGGTGAATATCCATCTCCAGGGGGCGAAGTAGTGGTAAAAAAGGCACAAACGCTCATAAAAACAAAAAAATGCAAAACTGAAAATTTGTATGTTTCTTCCCATGGACTTAACAAACCTTCATGCCAAATGTGGTGAAGATTCACCTACACCTACAGGGGGAGAAGTAGTTGTAAAAAACACAAAATTGAAAATTTGTATGCATCTCCCCATGGACCCAATGAACCTTCATAAAAAATTTGGTGAAGATCCATCTACAGGGGGCAAAGTAGTGGTAAAAAACGCCCATAAAAACTGCAAAACTGAAAATTTTAATGTACCCTTTCATGGACCTAATGAACTTCCATACCAATTTTGGTGAAGATCCATTCACATACTATGAAGTACTTATATGGACATACAACAGACAGTACTATTATATTTATATAGATAATATTATCACTTTTGCTTTAATTAGGTCTGATATGGCCATGGTACATAGGCTTTAGCCATTGTTACGATGATGAAACTGAGATTAATTATCAAAACTCAAACTCTGGGTTAATAACAACAGGGAATATTCCTTTCAACAAAAGTTTATCTCACAGACTGTGGGATATGTGTCCTAAGTTATCATAATTTATTATGAGAAGGAATCAAATTAGTGTAAGAGTTCATTTAGGTTTCGTGTTTAATTTTGGCAAATCTAAACGAGGGCTATCTGCACAAGCCATTCCTAATTTAGCAGTGATAGATAAGAGGGAAAGCAGCTAGTCAAAACCACTCACTGTCAACTCTTGGGCTACTTTTGTACTAACAAAATGTAGGATTGACTATTATAAGCTCTCAGGGCAAGTCGAGTATTTTAACCACCAGGCCATTAATGTAAGGAAATGATAATTCATACCAGGAGGTGTAACTGAGATTTTAAGATTTTGTACCTTTCTTTCTTAAAATAAAGAAAAAAATATATAACACTTTGAATTTTAACTAAAGTTCAAAATAATAAGTACGATACACAAATTTTTTCATTCATAACAAAAAATAACACTCTGAATCACTCAAATGCCAAACAAAAGAATGAGTAAATACACATTATTGTGTAAAATAATTTACAATAAAGATTAAATCCACACCAATGGAATTATACTAAACTAGTTTTGAAATTATGTGTCTTCTTCATTCCAATGTTTGGACTGAAGAGGACATGTGAAATATCAAAAGTAGTATCTATACAAATGGGATATTATTCTGTTAGTGTGAATTTAAACTTTAATGGAAAAGAATGAGACTTTGATATACATAGTTTGCTCATTACATATTACTTGACATGGAAGATCATTGCTCTCTATTGGTGGAGGACTGTAGTATAATGCTAATTATATCATAAACTAGTTCAGTACATGTTAATATGTTTAAAGTTTGGAGTATGTGCAAAAAGGTTTTTTCTAGTGGTGTGAGGTAATAGCTATCTTTTTGAGGAGAAGTGAGAAGCATTTCTGAAATCGTACTTACTTAATAAAATCCTTTTGTACCGACACAAAATTAATAAAATTTTACAGCTTGAACTAAGCAAAAGTTTTGGAAATTCATAAGGATACAAAGTTAATACACAAACAGTCAGAAAGTTTACAAACTAAGTAACCTCAAAGTCAAAGCCTAGTATATCAATAGGAATAGCATATTTTCTTGCATAGTTCTGGACAGCTCCTGTTAAAAAACCTTGAGTAAAGTAGAACCCAGACAGCCAAAAGACTGAAGGTTTTCCTTCTTCATACCATTTCTGTACAGAGAAAACATAAAACCACATTAAGTATAAATATGTGGTAAAATATAATGATGACCTTTACATTAACCAGGGTATTATTTAAGACATCTTGTTAAATATGACTAGAAATAAATAAAGAAATTACATTAATTGGTATTTTGATTTGTTCAGTTTTACATATCAGATATTTATTTTAATTTATTGTCATATATGTATTACAGTCGTTAATGTTTGGTGACAAACCTACTAATTAATAAATTCAAAAGTTATTATTTTCCTACACTGAAAATATATTTCCAATAGGTATTTACCTATACTCACATAATAGCTTTTCTTGTTCAGTGATGCCCTTTATATGCAAAATTATTGTTGCATGCCACAAACCTTGAAACTTCCACCTACCACATAATAAATGTGATTCTTTGCATCTTCACATGTCAGTTATCATGCAACAACCTTTCACTAATAAGAGTGTGAAACACCCTTCTGATGCACATTACTCCCTCTATTTGATTCCACCTAACCACCACTTTGAGATTAGGCAGAAACGAAGCATGGGTATTTGGGAAGAAGGGTGGGAAGTGTGAGAGGAGGTAAGTACCTATTGGAAATATATTTTCAGTGTAGGAAAATAATAACTTCAAATACATTACCTTACTTCCACTCACGTAATAGTTGGAATCCTACAGTGAAAATCACAGAGGGTGAAGGATATAGATAAGTATCCAAAGAACACCCATGGAGTGTGAATCCCAATTGGAAGGGGATGATTTATGTTGACTGGTCCCACTCAAATCCAAAACCACTCAGTGGGAACTGACATCCAGTCAATGGTAGGACGAGGGATCCCAATTGGAAGGGTGAACTGCAATGTGGCAGCTCTACTCTAATTTCTGGAATATACTGTCATGATTCATGTGCAACATTATCCCCAACATAGGGCCACACAGAACCCGGAGTGCATGGATGCACAACATCAACCACGAGGTCTCACTGGAAGAACATCACTGCTCTACTCTCTACTAAATGGAATTGATCACATTCAGGAGGTTACCTCGACAGTCCACAACACCAGCAGCTACAAACTGGAAAGTGGCAAGGACTCTCATAATCCACTAGAAGAAAGGAGGGGGGGGGGGGAGAAATGTGGTGGAGAGTCCAGAGGAACACTGACACCGGATACTGTGCAATGGGTGACCACTAAAACTCTATTTTGAAAAGTAGACCACACTTGATTTATTAAATCAAAGGGACAGCAGAGCTGGGCAGCAATCCTCTTTTGCTTTACCCATGCAAGTCCAAGGGTTAGTACAAGTCTGGAACAAGCAGGCTGTTGAAGCAAAATACCACAAGGAAAACCTACTAGTGATCTTGTGGAACATCTCATCTCAACAGTATGTATTATTGGCCATGGGTATACATCGAGATTGGTGATTGTATCACCAACTGACATCCCAAGCAACTACAATCTGCAGGACAAGCAGAGCTGGAAATGCACAACATTAACCTCTGAGACCCACTATATGGAGGTGGAGCAACTGTTCACTAGGCAACAGATAATATACTCTTGTATGACTTATGGTCAGCTGTACATTGTGGGATTTTTTGGGATGGATAGATAAGTAACATATCTGGACAGGCAATGCTCGCCACTAAGTGGGATCCTAGACCTAAAAGAGACAGGTCTCTGTAAGCAAAAATAGTATATAGGAAAAAAAGGAAACTTAGCAAGTCACAGTTGAATCAATGTTTGAAGGATGGCTATAGGCAGAAGGCAGTACCTCGAAGAGGAAGAAACAGCAATCTGATAAAGGTTGTTGGAGATGAACGTATCAGGTTTCATCTACATGCCCGACTGAAGAATTTCTTCCAAGGAACGATGGAGGTGAAACACAAGCGAAAAGGTAAGGTGCTGTATCTGATGCAATGTCATCTGGAACAAATTGCGGGAAGAAGGAGACAGGGAGGAATTTGCCAATCTAATAAGCTGACCAACCCAACCTGTATGGTTAGAAGGGTTCAAGGGAATGAAAATGTGGGATCAGAAACCAAAGAAGGAGGTCATGCAGGCAATATAATAACAAAGTGCATAGACAGGACATAGAAGTCTATCCAGATCAGACCAAGAATAAAGGTGAGAAATTGGTGTGAATGAAGAATTTCCCTCACAAGCTGCCAAAGTTTTGAGCAGGAAAGAGTGATCAGGATAAATGAGAACATATGTAGAATGGAACACAGTATGTGCAATGTCAATGACAAAGATACAAGACTGGCACTGCACACAGGCTAAAAGAACTAGGAAATAAATATTAAAGGATAGATGATACAGGGAACAGGAAATCAAAGATTCTAAGAGAGGGGGCATGAGAGACTGAAGAACAATATTGACATTCCAATCTGGAAGAACCACTTGATAAGGAGGTCGACAAATCCAGAAGGAATACAATAAAAGGGAGACAGTAGGCAAGGCATGGTATCTGGAAAAGTGAAAGTGTTAGATAAGGCTGCTCGATAAACTGCAATGGAAGAGACAGAAGCCCCATGATCAAACAGCTAGGTAAGAAAATCTGTAAGGAGAAGAATATTGGCCGAAAAAGGAAACTCTGTGGCTTAAAGACATTCTACTTAGCATGATAAACCACATGGGAGTAAGTGGGAAGAGAATGGGCTAAAAAGGAAGTGACATAAACAGACAATCTGGATCTCCTCACAAGGGACTGGATAAATGCCAGGCATGAAGTCGAAGGGTGTGAAGGGCAGGATGAAGGACCGAAGTTGGCGGAAGAGGGATGGAGTGAGAGGAAGAGGTAACAGGGGGTAGTTTGGAGCTGAAGGAGAAAAGGAAATCACGGTTGTGCCGGCCAGTAAGGAACGATCAGAAGGACCTGACACAGAGTGGAATGGATGACCAAAATTACCCTGGGAAGGAGTCAGATAGAAGGATAGGCATAAAGGTACTGGTTGGTACAGTCCTGACTGATAGCATCCACTGCCAGAGCATGTGGATAAGGAACTAGAGACCAAAAAAAGAAGGTAACATGGTGTTGAGGGAAGTGGCAAAAGCATTCAGATGAAGAGTACCTCACTGATTGCAAAGCCACCGGGTTGAGGGACCACTCTGTGGGGTAAATCGAATTGGGTCAAGAAAGACAATCCAGCACGAGATTGAAAGCACCAGGATCATGATATGCTTTGAGATGTAGCTGCAGCATGAGGGCCCAATAAAGAAGTTCCAATATTTAACCACAAAGCAAATGAGAATGGGTGCCTCCTTGGTGTTTTATATAGGAGACAACAGTGTAATTTTCTGAATGGATCATGACGAGTTTGGTCCATATAGTTGGAAGAAAATGATCCAAGACATATTGTACTACCAGAAGCTCCAAGAAGTTGATTGTTGTATTTGAGACCATTGTCTGGAAGCCTCTTGGTGATCGACCCATGACTCCCAACCATGGAGAGAGGCATCAGTGAACAGATGCAAATCTGGACAAGGAGGAGGAAGGCAAAGAAACAACATGTGAAGGGATAGTGCCACATAAATGGGCCAATATGGAGTTAATGAAGGAATGGGTATCTTCCAAAAACCCCTCAGGGGATTGGTGGAGAATCTCAGAAAGGTATTGTAGAAGAGACTATCCTCCAAAAATCCTTCAGGGGATCAGTAGAGAGCCTCAGAAAGGTACCATAGAAGAGATGTAAGGGTAAGATGAAGGCGGAAAACTGGGCTTAGGATAAACATATAGGATTATCAGGATCTATCGCCACACAGGCAGAAGTTATTCCATCTGCTGGGAGTTGAGAAAGGGATGATAGGCCTGATGGTAAGCCAATGCCTAATGATTAGAAGCCTGTGGTGGATGAGGCATGTTGGCACCAGCCCTCAATTGAGAAACAAAATGCTCAGCATGTACCCTGATATTGGGAGAAAGACGAAAGACAAGGTAATCGATTGAAGGGGCAGCATGTAACAAGGAAGGGAAATAATCATAAGAAACTGGGGTACAGATAAAACGTAACAAACCTGAGAAATCATTTCCAAACAGGCTGAGGGAGGCCTGGCTGATTGCTCAGGAAAGGCATGGGCATGCATGACATAGGTAGGTGGTGTAAAAAGGCTGACAAAATCCTCCTTGTCACGAACGGGTTCTACAGGAACAGGAGGAGCTCAGACATTATTGGGAGAATAGTGTCATCTCAAGTAAAGATCAATCTCCCAACGATTGATGGCCAAAAAATTCTCAGTCAAAACCTCCATTTCTGAAGTCTGTGTCATGACATTTGAAGCAGTAGAAAAGGAAGCTGAAGTCGTGATAGTCATGACATGCAATCCCGAGTTCATAAACTGAGTCAAAGACTGAGAAAAGGTAGGAAAAAAACAAAGGTAAGTTGACTTGACAATAAACTACAGTGAACAAATTGTAAAAAAAAAACAAAAAACGTAGAAATATTAAAGCACTACTTTGCACAAAAAAAGAAGAAATTATCATGTGAAATCAGGATAAATTTAAAACGTTTACACTAGATAACTGACTAATGAGGAGTGATGGTTAGGTGGAATCAAATAGAGAAAGTAACGTGTGTCAGGAGGGTGTGTTGTACCCTCACTGGTAGAGGGTTGTCGCATGATAATTTACATGTGAATATGCAATGAATTACATTTTTAATGACGTAAGTAGGAGTTTCAAGGCTGGTAGCATGCAAAAACATTTGCATATAGAGGGCAGCACTTAACAAGAAAAGCTATTATGTGAGTAGAGGTAATGTATCATAATGGAAATACAATAATAACAGTAAAAAATTATGGTTTTAATGATTACCAAATTTTAACCCATATTATCAGGTCATTATTATTAGGAAATTTTTGCATTGAATGTAACTATTACTTGGTGATGACCTGGTAATTTGGGTCAAAATGTTGTAACCATTAAAATCAGAATGTCCTTTCAGAAAAATTACTATTTATTGTATTAGATTCTTTATTCAAGTTTTATTTAAAAAAGAATACAAGGAATTAAATTTTTTGCTCAAGTCTACATAAGAGTAACAATAAGAGATCACATTACACAAAATAATCATGGAGTATCAAGATAATTCATCAACACCTTTAAAATATACTGAAGCTTATCTAGCTATGACAGACAAAACTAAACCTTTATTCATGTGAAATATTTGTTTTAAAACTAGTTTCAGCTTGAATTTTCAGTGATTTCTAGTGGATTTAGTTAAACAATGTTTAGTAGTAAACAAATACTCTTAACATAATGAAAACATCCATCTACCTGGAGAAAGTTGAGACGTTCTAAAAAATCATTGATAAAACTTCCAAGTGGTTTCAGTGTTGGATAAGATCTTGCTAACCATAGTTTGGGAACTCGTCCCATTAGAAGACTATGTGCTAAATCTTCCAGTTCAGGTGACATCACTTCCAAACCCTTCACAGCTTTTTGGAGATTATGCAAACTGGTGCAAATCAAGTGTAGTAGCCTGATAAAAAAGGGATATATATATGTATTTATTGCTATGAACATAACTTATAACCACAAATTCTGTACATTTAAGAATAACCTCTGAATAAGCAAATTGGCTATATGTGGAACATGGTCAACTGGCTGCAGTGATACATGCAGTTATGGGCCACCACAAGACAAAACAAATGTGATTACTCTAAACACTTCAACAACTAGTATAAACACATTAATCAACACTATCTACTCTTATAAACACATTAAGTATTAACTTCTCTTTGCATATACCATTAAATTAATCAATAACGGCTCCTTGTATAAACCACTACATGTAATATCATACTGTTACCTAGTATAAACACATTAAATGTTAACGTATCTTTACATATACCATTAAATTAATCAATAACAGCTCCTTGTATAACCACTACATGTTTTATCATACTGTTACTTAGTATAAACACATTAAATGTTAACGTATCTTTACATATACCATTAAATTAACCAATAACAGCTCCTTGTATAAACCACTACATGTAATATCATACTGTTACTTAGTATAAACACATTAAATGTTAACGTATCTTTACATATACCATTAAATTAACCAATAACGGCTCCTTGTATAAACCACTACATGTTATATCATACTGTTACCTAGTATAAACAACATTAATCAACACTATTTACTCTTATAAGCACATTAAATATTAACATCCAACTCTTTGCATATACCATTAAATTAGCCAATAACAGCTCCTTTTATAAACCACTACATGTTATATCATACTCTAATATAAATATATTAATCGACACTATCTACTCTTATAAACAACTGCATATCAAACCATACCATCTACTAGTACAAACATATTAACTATTAATATGTTGCTGTATAAACCATCACCAAGTATAAATACATTAATTTCTCAAAATAAACCATAATTTATATTGGTTGTGCTTGTCATGTGAATTGCATATTCAAAATCATCTTAATTTAATGTACTCAATTCACTGTCCTTATAATTATTGATTTAGTTTTCTTCCATTGATACTGTGGTAAGTTGATCTACTCTGAGATAAAAAAGGCTAGCTTACAGGTGTGATAGTTTTTCTGAATGTTTAGTAAAGTTAAGTGATATAAAATGAATAAATATTATTAGCAATAAACAATTTGGTGTTTCAATAATTAAATAATTTCATATTAATAATAGTCATAAACCTAATTATGAAAAATACTTATAATTGTTAAAAATTACACATTTCATCAATGTAATCTTTGAGTTCACAACAAAACAGTTATTGTTCAAATAATTTATGATATAAATATCATTTACTCTTCTAGTATGTCTATTGTATCCCAGTTGACCTGATTGGCTCTAGTTTGGGGCAAAATGTCACAAGGGCACTGGATATAGCAGATGTTGTGTGAATTACATATCATTACAATCCTCTTTATTTACACTCAAATGTTTTTATAATCATTATGTGTTAAACAACACTACATCATACATATTAAACCATCTCTTAGCACAAACTATTATATTAACAAACATTAAAAAGAACTACTTATATGTTAAACCATACTAGGAAGCAGAACAAGCAATTATATTATTTAAACAACACTAACTCCTTGAAGAATCTTAGTTGTTAAATTATTCTGTATTTGAAATAAACCTTTATTTGTAAAACCATCATAGGGTATGGAGTATACTCCTTTTTCATAATAATAATACAGTTAATATCTGTTCTGAGATAAAATCTTACCTATTAAACCGTTCCATCTCCTGGACTAGAACGGTGTTCATACTATCAGCATAGGTTATTGGGAACTTCTCAGTTGCTTTAATAAGATCAAAAACTGCAGGAAGCTGTAATATCACCATAAAATGTTTAAAAGGACAGCCATATTACGGACTACAAAAACCTATAACTAAATGTTAAATACCCTTGGAAAAAAATAATTTTGTGTGATATCTATCATGTTTTGGCTATTAAAAAAGAAAAGCATGATATGACTTCAATATAACCTAGAAAACAAAGAAAGAACTTCTTCACAAGTTTCTAACTTAAGATTAAAAATTCTGAAACTTACTTATCATTCTAAAATGCTTTTTTAATCCTTTTGCCACTTGTACCCCTTTAAACACTTTTTAGTGGAAGTCAAAATGTTACAGTTAGAATTTAATTAAACACCTTTACTATCAATGTATGTGAATGAAATTAATATTATAATGTATGTTATGATTCAAAGTTATCTAAGTTGTAAGTCCTTTATTTCAAAAGAAACCTTTAAAAAAAAACTTAGAACTTCAGATGTATTGTCATGTGACCAACGAGATATGAAAATTCTCTACTTTGGTTCTCTGTATCTTCAATAATACAATGACAGTTATGTAGATGTATGTCTAGACTATAAGATGCTTACATAACCTTTTTATTTGTACATTATAAAGTTCTCTGTATGAATGCAGTTGAAACAAGTAATAGATTTTGTCAATCCCTCACAGGTGCCACACCCACCTTCAACAAATTTGTTTGAGGTTTATAGTCTACACGTAGAGGTTACATATGTATGTATATAGTCAATAGAAAGAGCTCATTTTACACTATAATCTAACAATGGTTATTTTGAAATTGCCATGGAGTTTTAATTATGGAGTACATGTCACTGATTGTAGTATTGTTGGCTGCTTGATCAACTATAGCACTTACAGTTGTTTCTTATCTAAATCTGTTATAGTTAGAGATACAGTTAAGTTGTATTTAAGTGTTACTTTTATGTTGTAGTTAATTATGCATTACATATATTTTAAAATGCCTAATTGAAAGGCTTCAACATTTTTAAATATACATCATACTTTGTGTCAGTTCTCAAAGCTTACAATATTACACAGTGCACAAAAATTTTGCCAAAGAGTTGCGCATGTCTGCTAGAGACACTGTAATATGCCTTGAGGGCACCATTGACTTGTGTTGAGATGAATAATAAGAGGTAAAGGACAAGAAAGGAAAATAAAACATTACAAGTTAACTATATGTGAAAAGGAAAAGACCTGAAATTATGAATATAACCAAAAAATATCTTTAAAGATGTTCTACAAAAAATTAAAAGGTATGTACTTTTTTCTATTTCCTAATTTTAATCACTTCATTGCATTGTACATTGATGATAACAGTTAGAGTTGGTGATATGTCAGAGAAAATGGAAAATAAAATATAAATATTTACCTTAAAAAACTTTTGATATTCATTTAGAAAGTTCTAGAGGTTATGCAAATGAAAGATGAAGAAAAGTATTTTTATAGTTAAAACGAAAATCACCTTGCGCTCAAACTATTTTAACAATTTCAGTGCAAATAACTACTATAGATAAGTAATATTTTTATTAGAAAGAAATAATTAAAATAATGTTATTCTTTATGCACAAAATACTAATAAACTTTAACAAATTATTACAAGTTTTTGTGAGGAGTGCACATAGTTACTGTATTTTTGTTACATAAATGTCTTTCCCTAGTCGAGTAGATGGTAATCACATCTGCTTGTGCTTAAAAGGTTAATAAGTATAAACTATTCTAATGGTAATCATACTGCAAATAAACGTCATGTTTTGAAAAGTAAAACATTTAATTTAGTGCTTTGTATTTCTTTTACACATAACAAAAAAAATTATAAAACTTTAAGTATTTACTGCCCTTGGTAATAACTTGGATAGTTTGCTACCTCATCAATTGTAAGAAAACAAATACTAAGTAAAACCATCTGAGCAATATTGGACTTAACATCTGTCAATCTTTGAAGTTATAGTTTAAGCTTATTTTCTAATTCTCATAAATTTCTAAAAAGCACCACAGAAAATTCCTCACCTTTGACAGAATATCAGTTGCTATCTCCAACAACTGACCCTCAGAAGAACCTTCTCCTACACCAGTTTTGTGGCCCTGAGTTAATAAGATTGAATCAAATAGTTGTTTAGTCTCCTGTAGTTCTCTGGATATGTCTACATTGTCGTGCATACCAAAAGCCTCAGGTGCTTGGCTCTGGGGTAAGTTCTGTAGGCATGATGAAAACTCTGGCTATAACTTGTCAATAGTTTTGTAGCAATACAAAACAAGATTAATTGACATAACTGCTGGAAATTAACATTTTCTCTTGACTGATATTATTTAATGTAACTTTGCTGACATTAGTTTGTGATGGTTGATGTATTACATACTTTAACAAAGTTCTGTTGCACAAATCTATAGATGAAAACAGAATTAATGTTGTAAGTTACATGAAATGTATGTGTATGAAAACCTCTGACTTTACACACCTCTGATTCCAAGCTGCAATGGAAAATATAATAGGAATGTGGGGAAAAAATGCAGTTAACTTGTTTTTATAACAATTTTTAGGCCTACTGGTTTTCCAGTACTTTGGTAGCTTTTGGCATTTAACCTGTAACTTTTAAAGTATTATACGACATATATATAAATAGTATTTCATACAATCTTTTTTGTCTCATCATACCTCTTAAGTGATTAGTTATGGTACTGAACAAAAAGCTAATTGGGCAGTGACTTGTGGCAGAATAAACCACACTTCTGAAATCTATTTTTTTATACACCTCTAAATTAAAGGGAATGTGCATTTAACTTGTTTTTACAACAGTTTTTACATCTATTGTGTATAAACAGTGTTGGTTTCTAGAAAAGAAATAGGTTTGATATAGTATGTTTGGAATTTCGTGCAAAGCTACTCAAGGGCTATCTATGCTAGCTGTCACTAGTTTAGCAGTGATAGATTAGAGGGAGGGAAGGCAGCTTATTACTACCATCCACTGCCTTCTTGGGTTACTCTTTTATCAATGAATAATGAGATTGACTGTCACATTATAATTTTACCACATCTGAAAGGACAAGCATGTTTGGTTATGGGGAATTAAACCCCTTATTCACAGATTGTGAGCCAAGCTCCTTAACATGAGTATCTAGTAGAGAAAATAGAAAAACACTTCTTGGTTCCCAAAATATATAAAGGACAAAATTAAAGAAAAGCAAAACTTAATGTAAACTACCGCTATAAAATCCAATTTGCTCAGACAAACCATAATTTTTATAGTTCTCAATTTTGTTTGGTCACAGAGCTATCAAAAAGAAAATCAGACCCCTCCTGCCACACCCACTTGTCACCTCTTTCAGGATTTGTTAATAGTTCTCTCTTATGTTTAGTTGTATATTACATATAACCGATAGGAAGCAGAGGTTTTCATCTATCAAATGATGTATTCTATTTCTTTGTCCATTGAGTACATAATCATCAATTTCAATCAGAGTGCAAATTTGTTTCCTATGGGAAAAATAACCAGAAGCTTGGATGAATTTGTAACGTTCTTGTCATATAGTGAATTACCTGTGGTTAGTGACAAATAATAAAATAATAAGATTATACCCACCACAAAAAAAAATGTCTAAGAGGAGAAAAGAACATGACAAAGGCAGAAAATTTAAATCAGGTTATGCAAAAAGATGAAAGCGGGTGACTTTGGAAGAATGCAAAGAACAGTTATGTGGTTGAATTCTGAAATATTTAAAGGCAGAAAAAGTATATCAGTCTGCAATTGGGAATGAAAATGAAGATGTGTGAAATGGTTTGGCCCACGAAGAAGATTCTCAAAACACATCAATTCACTGTGAGTATAATAATGCTCTGATAGAAGTGTCTATAAAAAAATTAGCAAGATTCTGTTAACTTTGATATATTAAAATCTGATGATCTTAACAAAACATATAAATCTATTAGTTATGATCCCGGTGAATGCATAGAAAATAATAGTCTTCATAATCATTATTTGGGAAAAAACATTCAAAATGAGTTAAAAGCATTGATGGCCAAACATGTTAAACTTGCAATTATTCAAAATATACAGCAAGCAAAATATTATTCAATAATTCTGGACTATACTGCAGACATTGCTAAAAAGTCAGGATACATTGAGGAACATTTTGTCAGATTTATACCTGTAGAAAAAACTACGGCTGAAGAATTAAAAAATTGAGTACTTTCACAAATCAACAACCTAGGGCTGGAGATACAAAACTGCCACAGTGAAGGATACGATAATGGAGCTAACATGCGGGAAGAAAAAAGTGGTGTAAAAACAAGAATACTAAATATTAATCCTTTAGCTTTCTTTACACCTTGTGGATGTCACAGTTGGAATTCAGTGCTTGGTGATGCAGCAGTGTCTTGTATAAAGGCTAGATTATTTTTTGGTGTTTTGCAAAGGCTGTATAAGTTATTTTCTGGTTCATTCAAAAGGTGAATTGTGTTAAACGAAAGAGTAAATATTACTGTTAAGCCTTTGGCCAAAACCAGATGGGAATGCAGAACGGAGAGTGTGAAGGCTGCCCGATACCAATTAAAAGATATTGCTGATTGCCTAGAAAAAGTGTCATAAATATGCAGTGATCCAACATTTCGTAGTGAATGCAGTTCGATAGAAGAAAAAATTTTGTCATATGAGTTTGTACTTTCTTTAGTAGTGTGGTACAATATTTTAGTGAAAACAAACCTAATTAGTAAAGTATGGCAATAGTGTTGTATGCAGTTGGACACGGCATTGAAACATTTTGAGGAATTTCTATGCTGGCTAGAAGAAACTGTTTTGACTCTGCCAATGAAATAACTGATGAAATGGGCATTCTGAGGAATTTTAAAGAAATTAGGCTATGTAAGAAGAAAATACATTTTGATTACGAGTGTCCAGACAAAACTAGTGCTAACCCTGCAGACATTTTCAGAACTGAATATTTCAACGTTATCGTCGAAATGATTTGTGCAAGTGCTGGATCTTGATGAGGGGTTAAAAAAAACCTACTACACCAGTTTTGGTTTTCTCTATAATATTCAATATTTAAAGAACAAGTCTGATGAAGAACTTTTACAATTTTTTAAAGAACTACAAGTGCTACTTCCTCTGTTTGAGTTGTCCGACTCTGATATAAATGGCGAAGAATTATTTGAGGAACTAAGAATGTGTACCAAGACTGTACCTCTAAATATAGACATTCATGATTCACTAAAATATATTATAGATAATAATTTAATTGAAGTTTATCCTAATGTTTATGTAGCATTAAGAATTATTTCAACAATTCCAGTTACAGTTGCTTCAGCAATCTTTGAAAACAGAAATTAATAAAAACTTACTTAAGACCTACTATGGGTCAAGAGAGGTTATTAGCATTGGCTATTCTGTCTATTGAACATAATTTGGCTTCAAAATTAGATTATTCCTCTGTTATAGATGTCTTCAGCACCACCAAATGCATAAAAATGAAATAAAATTGTAATTGTACCTATCCAATAAATTGTTGTGATTTCATATTGATGTTTTATTTATGTTTTGTTAATATCTGAATTTTTTTTATCATGTCAAGGGCCTCATGTATGACTTTCACCTAGGGCCTTGCTATCTCTAGAGCTGCTTCTGCCTGAGCCAAATAATATTTACCAAAGGATTTGGAAGGAGGTTAAGGATTAGATATGTGAGCCATTTGCTAATATTTTTCTCTAAGTATTTGAACAGTTGGAAAATGCCAGAAAACCATAAGTTGGCTAATGTTGCTTTTCTGTTCAATGGAGGAGATAAAAATTGTCCCATTAATTATAGCCCTATTAGTATTACATCAGTGGTAGGAAAGGTTTTTAAAAGTCTGATAAAAGATGCTTTCCAAAGTCACGTAACACAATTAAAAATTTGTTGGATAGTCAGCATAGTGTCACTAGGAGAACATCCTGCCTTATTAATCTTTTGAAAGTCATTGAAGAAGTTACTGCTTACATAGAAGAAGATATGGGTGTGTGTGTGTGTATTTGGTGTAACTAGTTTAGTAAAAAAAAAAATCTCTATTGGTGTAGAGGATAAGTTAACTAATTCAATAGATGAGTGGCTGGATGGAAAAAAGCAGAGGGTTGTTATTAATGGAGTTCAGTCAAACTGGATTAATGTCACAAGTGGGGTACCACAGCTCAGGGATCAGTCTTAAGACCTTTGGTGGTGCTGGCTATGAGAAGGATACTGCTGCTTTACAAAAGCATTTAGATCATTTAGTGAGTTTTAATGATAATAAATGCAAGATATCGCATGTGGATTATTATAATTTGAATTATAAGTATAATTCTGATGGGAAATACCTTAACAGTTTTATGAAAGGAAAGGATATTGGTGTTCTAGTTCATCAGTCTATTAAGACATCCAAGCAATGTACTGTTGCTAGTGGCATGGCAAATACATTTTGACTGTATGTAAAGAAATATTGAATGTAAGTCCAAAGAGGTTACATTTCCTCGTAAAGGTCACTGGTTAGGCCACATTTGTGTACTTTACCCTAATGAAAAACATTAAATTGTCAGAAAGGGTTCAAAGAAGGGCTACCAGGATGATAGCTGGGATAGAAAGATTGTCATATGAGGGCAGGTTAAGATCCTTGAAATTGTTTTATTTTGAAAAAAAGAAGAGTAATAAGGGATCTTATTGAGATGTTTAAAATTGTTAAGGGAATTGATAGTGTTGAAGCATAATTTTTTATCATAATTAATGGTTAGAATGGTAGGAATAGGGGACAAAAGTATAAATTTTGGGAGGACAGGAGTCAGCAGAGAAGAAAAAATACTGTTACGTATCTGCTTGTTTCCGGTAGAAATTCTTTCCGAGGTTCTTCAGCAATACAAGTCCTTTCTTGATTAAACCAGTTTATTCTTCCTCAATACAAACTTTTAGTACACAGAAGTTCCACAATCAGTACGTTTCTCGTCACTTTAAACGTAACAACTTTTACAATACACGCTATAAATCACAGTGATTCACAATCTTGATAACTTCTCTCTCAACGAGTGCAAAACACACACTTTATGACTCACTAGCTTGAAACTAACAGAATCATAAATTGCATGTAACTCAAAGTAACTACTTCTCTCTCTTCATTCATTGTCCCACTGGCTTTCTCTGCCAGGCTAATATATTAATGAAGAGGGCATTTTGGACTTCCCAGATCATTCGAGAAACTCATAACGCATGCCAGCAGCATCACGTGACTTCCGCTGAAGTAACAATACTGTCACAACTCAGCAGATAAGGGAAAATACTATAACAAATCAGCAGGTCAGGAAAAACTACTGTGAAAACTCAAAAGGGAGAAATGTGATCATAACTAACTGTGATGTTAACCTAAAAGATGTTAAATATTACTGCCACGACTCAAAAGATAAAGTAAAACTGTTATCACGACTCATCAGATAAGGGAAACAGTGGTTACAATTGAAAATTTAAGATATATGCATAAATAAAGAGTTGAACTTAAATTTCTGGTCAATAAGTTCTTTTTCTCACCTTGATAAAACTGATGTAATCCTGATAGCTACCTTTTGTTGGGATATAGTACTCACCACTGGAAGATAACCTATAAATAAAACCACATTAATACTGTATACACAGCAAAATCAGTTTAAGAATCTACTAATAAATCATATTACATGAACACATTATGTTTCACAATGGTTTCAAAACAGACATAAATAAACCAATTTTGTATGTGTACACAAGAGTATTATTATTTTCTAATATTTCCTTTCAAACCGACAAATAAAACCATTTTAATAATGCATATAAGAGGATATGGCACATTTTAAAAATGGTCACACACTAGAGACAAGATTTCAGAATTTATGATCCACCTGAACAGGTAACATCCAGCAATAACATTCACTACAGAAATAGAAAAAACGTTAACAAGTTCTCTTTCCTAAATGGTTCCAAAAGATACATTGATATGGGTAATACCTCAACTATATATCAAGCTATCCTAAAGTGTATAGACAGACATTATAAATTGCCTAATTTCCACAATGAACAATGTTTGTAATACACAACATGGTAAGAAGAATGCAAAAACACTATGGCCATCAATACCTGAATAATTGATAAAGACAAACATCAAGAATAAGTAGGAAAAAGTAGACAAACAGCAACATTCCCTTGTGTCAAAGGTCTCTGAAAACATATAAAGTCAGAACAGTATACAGAAGCCGCAACATAATACATTCACAATGAGTGCATACCCAAACCCAACAATAAACAAAAATACATCCTTTGCAAATGTTGATTCTAATGTATTAGTGAAAGAGAAATACTAACCAAAGTGAAATTTAGGAACATGACAGACAATAATGATTTATCTGTAATAGCCCATCATATCAGAGAATAAACTCATACAGTAAAAATAGATGTTTTATAGATCCACCTAACTGATAACACTTAGCCAATTAGCTAAACCTGGAGAGTTCCCTCTTGAAATTTGTCAAATTGTTAGTAGATTCAAGTCCTGCTGGGGGATGAGTGAATAGCATATCTCTGCCTTTCTAACAAGAAGATTTATAGGTCAAAAGATCAAATCTCAGCCACTTCCACCACATACAGTTCTCATCAGGACTTCCCTACAGACAACAGCAGATTAACAAACAAAATTTAAGCTTTAGATTAATTGTAGGTTTAGGTGATTGGGTGCACTATTTTTTTTTGCCATGGTAGCTATGGTCATGTGTGAATTAATTTTGGCAGTCTCTGTAAATAAATTGATGAGTCATTTTATTAATAGCCAATAACTGTCATATGTTAAATTGTAATCTTGTTGTTTAGTATCAAATAAAAATATAAAGTAACTTAGTTTGCATGACACAGAACAGCACCATGAATTAGCTACCTCCATAGTTAGTATGTAACTTTTGAAATTTTGATTTTCATTTCATTTTGGATGTAGTCACTCAGGTAAACAGCTTGACTTTCCTCACTCTGTTGCACACAAGACTCAGGTCCATTAACTAGCCATCAGGCATATTCTCTTACAGGGATGGTAGATGTTGTTTCACTTAAGAAGTCTTCTCTGTTAGTGAATTGGGTAATGGCCCAGCACCTACAGGTTCCTCTTCTGGAACATTCTGACATCTCAGCCCTACTTATGATCAAGAGGTGCATCCACTTGGTTTAATATCAGTGGGATTAACTTGAAGAATAAATAAGTCATATGTGTTGTTTAACCCAATTGGTCAAAGTGGAAGGAGATAAGTCATAAGAAGAAGAAGAATCCCACAGCAGTAGACAATATCATTTACTACATAATGGAGAAGTATGAGCTAGATAACACCAAATGTACTGCCCTAATAGGACAAAGGAGACAATTGTAGAGAGAAAAAAAAGGAAAGGGAGAGTCCTGAGGAGAAAGGAATAGTCTGGGAATAAAATCAACCTATTATAAAGTGTTGGAGGCATTTAAAGCAAAAATGTTAGAGTGATGTCTCCCACAAGCAAGAAGAAAGTAATTCTTTAGAGAAAGATGGTATAGAGAATAAGTAACCAAAAGTTCAAACATGGGAAAACATGTGAAAGCCAAGAGAACTAAACAGAGGTTTCAGTCTGGGAAAGAAACCAGACAAGAAGTACAACCGATGAGAAAGGTTTGGAAGAGGCCCATAAGAACCAGAGAAGAATGAAAAGAAGGTTAGAGAAGAGATGGAAGGTCATACACAAAGTCATTCCCCTACTGGCAGTTGTATAAACTGATAAACTGCCTTGCAAAACCCAGATGACAAAGGAAGTGAGATGAGGTAGTGTTAGATGAATTGGAGGAATGGAATGATGAAACAGACCATTGATGGTAGACTAGCCTTTTCCATTGATAAAGTGTAAGGGTGAATGACTGACAAGAGTATGCAATAAAACAGGTTACTGTGTGAGAAAATTCTACCCATGTTGCAAAGAATCAAATAAAATCCATGCATGAAAGATAGACATGTGAGGCTAACCTAAAAAGAGACCTCCAAGCTGGAATAGGCTCCTTGAATGTCAAAAAGCACAGCAGTGCAAACCACAAATGAGCAGACAAAAGAGAAGCAATGAAAAGAACCCACCAAAGAGTGTCACAAAAAAAAGGAGACAACACTTTGGGAATGAATCATAGAGAAGAATAGGCATAGAGAAAGAGATTGTATAAACTCTGACTTAAAGCATCTACAGCAAGAGCTGCAGAATCCAGAACTGGTAACAGTATAACTTGATACTGAGGGGAGTTGCAAATGCATTAATGAAAGGACAAATTCCCTGAATTACCAAGTATGGATAGATCACTTCTTGGGAAGAATACTGTCCCAGCATGAAAACCAATCTGTCACCAAATTCAAAGCTCAAAGGACACGACAGGCCACCAATTGACTGTATTGGTCTTGGACCCAAGAGAGAAAGACCTGAGTAAGAAAGCAGAGGTCCTGAGAGTGCCGGCATCCCTATCAACTGATATTGAAAACATTTTTATATTTGAAGCTTTACAGAACTCCCAGTTATTTGTTGATAATCTTTTTGTGAGAATAGACATCTGCTTTCAGCAGAAAACAATGTCGAGTGATTCATCATGAACTTGTCATTTGAATACTGCAAAACATCATGAAATAAGTAATAACCTTGCTGTTTCACCAAATTCAAGTTATTAGGTCTTTATGACTGATTGTTTTTCAGTGCTTGCACTTGAAAATAAATGTTATGCAAGAAATATAACATCTATATTAATTTAAGAAATGAGTACTTCCTTCGTGATAGTTTATTTCTGTTAAAACGTATTACATTTAGCTGACATAAAAAAAGATGGAAGGCAGCGAGTAAACAGCACTACTAGACTACTTGAATTGAAAACTGAGACTTAAATGTTACTCTTATAATGTATCCATTACCCCAAAATGTGCAGTGTACCTTTTATTTTCTTTAGTAATGTAACACAAACTCAGATCCACATTCTGTCATACTAAATCCCATGCCACGTCCAGCCAAAATGTCAGCTGACATTCTGGTAGTTTTCAAGTTAATCAAACTGCTTTCACATGTATATAAGTAAGACAACTAACCTGTATTTTGGTTCAGACACAACTCGTGGGTTACAGAAGTCATCCAAAAGTGTTGTCAAGCGTAATCGGTCCCAGTCATCTGTAACACGTCCTCCATAGTTACACTCTCCTACTAGGTAGGAGATGGCCTCATAAGGAACTGTCTCCTGCTCATTGAGGTACATCTGAAGCTGAAGCACAGATATTCTGAGATCAGATTCATTGAATTCATAGGGTGTGTTCCAACCTTGTGGACCAAACTTTCTTCGTTCTTGGACCAGAGCATGAAAGAAACACAAACTGAAAAGAAGCTTTTCAAACACCTGCCAGAGACAAAAAAAATACAAATGTTTCAAATTTGTATCTAATTATAGAAACTTTCCGGTTATGTTGAATATAAAAGTATCAATGAATCATATGCTATGTTGTTTATACTCAGAGGAAGAAATGAACACTAAAGAAAAAGATTTAATACAGATGAAATATAAACAGGATTCCAGACTTAAGAGTTTCAGATGTAAACAGTGTACTGAGAAGTAGGGTCACATTTTATTCATATAAAGAAAAAAGATGTGTACTTCATTTGCTTTCTAAGAAATCCTGAATGATAATATTTTTTGGAATGGCATAATATTTAAGATGAAGAACCATATACAAATAATTATGTTATGTGATGAAGTTTTCAAGGTACCTGAAATTATGCAATATAAGCAATAGATTTTCATGCTAAAAAGTAATTTTAATGGAAGATTATTCTTGAAATTAAACACATTTTGCAACCCTTGATATGCAATGCAAGCCAAGGTTATAGCTTTCAGGTTATTCTTAAAATTAAAAGAAGTTCACAAAATCCAATACATAACACAAGCTTATAGCTTTTAATTAGACTATTCTAAAAATTAACAGAAATTCACAACACTTGACAAGCAACACAAACTTCTGGTTTTCTGAACTGATTTTGAATATCTATCTCAATAATAATGTCATAAAATTTTCTAAATATTAATATAATTCACTAATCAAGCAGATAATGGTAAACCATAACAATTCCAAACTGTTCTTATAAAACAACAGGTGCAAAACACCTGGGAAAAAAATGCTAAGAAACATTCAACTTACTACTTCTTTTCCTGGACATCCAGAGAAAAAAGCTGGATCAGATATAGGATCACTAGTGTAAGACTGAAGCAAATTCTGTCTTAAACCTGTTGGGGGCTCATTGGTCATTTTGACACTATTTTGAAGAATTGACACAGGGAACTAAAGAGATGTTAAAAGTAATTAAGATTTTTTCAATAAGCAGTAATGGCTTTGCAAAACAATACTGACCTGAAAGGACAAATATAATACCTACTGCTTTTTGATCACAGCATGTACTTTTGAAAACACCCAAAAATCAAAACAGTAAAGTAATGATAGAAATACCTACAAGACAGAACTAAATTAAATATACTAACATCATCCCTAATCTAGCTTATCCTAACATATGTTACTCTCACCACTCAAAAAACATAAAAGGTAAACAAAAGAAAAACTAAGCACTTCTTTACAGAATAGCTGAAAAAAAGATACCTCTTTGAGTCCTTAATTAGAAAAGATGAACTTGCTTTACTTGTGACTGGACATCAGAAAGAGCTACCATAACATAACATTAAAGAACAACAAGGGGACCTTTTGTTCCATCTAAGCTATCCCTAATCATGAAAATATCTCTCTTAAACTCCCTTAAATTAACTACATCTACCAAATCTTAGGGCAACTCATTCCAAAGGACAAAAAATATAAAGCTGTCTTAGCTAAAGTCATTAAGAAAAGAGTAAATTTCTATATTCTTGACTGAAACTGAGAAACAGTTAATATCTCTTTAAATCCCTATTTAGAAAACATTAACTTGCTTTATTCTTGACTGAAACTGAGAAACAGCTAATACCTCTTTAAGTCCCTATTTAGAAAAGAGTAACTTTCTTTTTCTTTAAATAATCCTCAAAACATTTTGTATGTAGAAACAAATGATGAATACAAGGAGTAAATAAAGCAGAACAATTTTGAGTGACAGCTGTCACCCATAAAGAAAAACACAAACAAAACAATGAAAATCAATTCTCCTTTTCATATTTTATTACTGACCAAACACCAACCAGAAAATGAAATCATGCACAACTCCATTCCACTGAAAAATATATTATTACTAAATGTTACTCCCAACAGCTAAATTACAAAAAACCTTCTGTTTACTGAAACCAAAGATGAACTTTAATTTGAATTCCCAAGGCTATACATTTATGTATGTATAAACACATGCACCTCTCCTTTGAACCTGGTTTCATGCAGTTGAAAGTATTAGCCCTTCAGTGCCAATTTATTCATTACTTTTGGAAATGAAATCAATTAAAAATACTGTTATTTGGAAATAGCAGATAAAGTGTTAATCAACACCTTTCATGTGGGCATTTGTATTGGAGAACATATACAGGTTTTTTTTATTTCTTCTCCAAATATTCTATTTTTTTTTTCCTGTGGTAAAAACAGATGAGTCGTGGATGGTGAAAACCATTTTCACTTCTCTCTTGTCTTTCCATATGAAAACGAGAAGATCACCTTTTTCATTGTTGAAACTTGAGTCTTTAGACTTGGCGGCAACCCTCTATTCACTCTGATTGTTATGCAGATTCTTGTTTTATGTTCTAAAAACAGGTGTGCCATGGAATTACTGTTGTAATAATTGTCCTAGTATACGTGGTGCCACAATCGAAGATTGGGAGCAAAATTTGAAAGAATAGTGTCCCCCAATGTTTTACCTTCACCAGTATAAATCTCCATGTTGCAAATATAACCCATGTCACTCTCACACACCATTCTCACCAGCATATTTTACAATTTTTGTGAGGTTGTATGTTTGGAATCTTAAACGTTCTCTCCATGGAATCATGCCCTCAACCATTAACAACTGTTGCTTTGGTTTCTATAGTGTCCTGAATTTAATGAGAAAATAATCCAGTACTGGTTGAATTTTGAAGAGCCTGCCTGGAGACTCATCCAATTTCTGATTATCATTGAAATGCCAAAATATCCAAATTTGTTTAAATCTGTTTCGGATTATTGTCTACAAAAATTCTGGGCTAATCAAAAGAGGATCTATTGACCAATAATCTTTCCAGTTATATTTCCTTGTCTGCCCCATTAGTATAATAAGGCCTAGGTCTGTAGGTGTAGCTTCAGACCGTTGAAGTTCTTTAGGTGACATTTTATGTTTCTCTGCAATTTGATTATGGTAGGTAAACATTTCCTGACAAAACATTTCAAGTCATCACCAAACATTTGTCATGGCAGCAATACTTTCAGGTTCGGATGGAGTTATAGTGATCCCTGGGTTTCCTTCAAACAAGTTCAGTGGAATATCTATTTCTAACCAATTACCATTATCACAATGGGAAAACAAATCACTAACAGGAATCATCATCACTTTCTGATTCAGAATCAGTTGAGAGCACAACAACTTTACATATCTTTGTAGGTCTAACAATGTCACTGTAGCTAGAGTCACTGTCAGAATGATCCAGAAACACATCCACATCAGGATTTTCAACTCCACTTGGAAGATCTGACAAATTATCATCTTCACTCAACATATTACGTTTTATGTGAGAAGCCATTTTTAAAAGTATGGGTATTGAAGCAAAAATCAGAAAAACAATAACTGTCTGGAACAAAATAAAATGCATCTGACTCCTTTTGAACACAACATTTTAATAAATGGCACACAAAGACACTCTGCACAAAACACAAGTAAACTTGTGACCAGTCCACAATGTGCTAAAAGCATGAATAGTTAAACGTGATCTATCTGATAAGAAACAACACCTGTTTTATAGTTTTTGTCCAAAAATAGGATGACATACAATAAGAACATACTTTCAAAGCAGCAAAATGACACATAATAAGAACCTACAAGAGAAATAACAAAAATTACATACATTAAGAAAATACGTTAAAAACAAGACAAGGACTCATGATAAGAGCAAACCTTAAAAAAGAAAAACAAATACAATAAGAAGACACTTTAAAAACAGGAAAAAGACACATAATAAGAATATAGCTTAAAACAGGATAAAGAGAAATGCAAAGAAAAAAAAATACAGTTGCTATCCTATGCCAAAATAAAAACTTAATTATAACTTTTGTATTATTCCTACTTAAGTGTGTGCAGTAAATTACATTTGTGTCTCATTCTTAGGTTTTACTTCTTACAACCTTTTATACAGAACAATGAATTTCTAAGAAAGTTTCTATTCATAAACAAGAACATGAGATGAACTACTAAAAAAAAAACATAAACCAGAAAATTAATAAGCTATTGAGAAACATGACTAGGCAAAAGAACAATAGAAAAGTTCTCAATAGAAATCTATACATACAAAAGTTAACATTTTCCTAAACTGAAGACATATTTCCAATAGATACTTACCCCCTCTCACAAAAAAAGTTTTCTCAACTTACACTGTCCTCTAATGGTGCCAATTTTTGCTCTCCACTAGCCTTGATACTCCCACTTATGATTATTCTGTAACCCTCCACTAATAGGAGTGTGACACTGCCCCTATCATTACTAGCAACCTTAACCATATTGAGATTGGGCAGATCAAACCAAACCACACCAGAAGTGGGAAGGACGGGTGGGAAATGTGAGAAGAGGGTAAGTATCTATCTGAAATACATTTTCAGTTTAGAAAAATGTTAACTTTCGATACAATATTTTACCTCTCAAAAAGCTATAATCCCACCTTGAAGAGATGGAGGGCTAGTGAGAAGCACCCAAAAGAAAACCATGAGGGTGTGAGCATGAACTAATAACAACACACCCGTGGGAGACTGCATCACTTCTGAGCCAGGTATACTCTTCATTTGCTATTAATGTGTCACCAAAAGGACAAAAACAAAGGAGGAACCCCATGAATAGGTATAGATATAAAAGGACCCCTTGGTGTATAGTGGCTAGGGTGCTATAGACCATAAATGGGAGTTTGACCTCAGCCAACACCTGGTGGCATCTAGAATTGTACATCAAGTCTGTGGTAGGAAGAGGGTCCTCCACCTTTCACCTCAAAAATGGATATTGGCAGGGAAGAGAAGCTTTTGTACCAAGAACCCACCTTTATGCACCTCCAATTCAACCAACACCAGATCCACTGGAAACTGACTTTTACTGGATGGAAGGAAGGCAGAGAGCCCAGGTGGGTGTTCATCTTCAATTTCAAAACCTTGCAGCAATTGAAATTTTTCTTCCAGTCCATGGTAGGAAGAGGGTACTTGCCTTAAAAATGCAGGAATTCATGTGTCTCATTCAGCTACAACCAACACCAGATCAACCAGGAACCAACATCCAGCAGATGGTAGGAAGAGGGACCACTATTTGGGGTTGCATCTCCTGTCCAAAATCTGGCAGCATTGGGAATTTATCGTTCAGTCTGTAGTAGGAGGAGGGTAACCATCCAAACACATGTGAGGACTTATGTAGGGTCTGGGAAAGAAATCCTGGGCCCTGATGCTTCACTTGATTCAGAGTCCCCTCATTCATTCTTACCCCCCTTCAGTCATGTATGTCATTTTTTCCCCTTACAAGACTCAAAATGAAGCATCAGCATATAAATACTAATTTGTTTGAGAGAGAGAGAGAGAGAAGGAAGACTTTTTTAGTATCATATGTGTGGGAAATATTTGCTCGAGCCTGGGTCCCTCATGGGCATGGGCTCCAGTGATTTGCACCAGGTACACCCCCCTCTTCTGAGCCTTGGACATATGTGGCTGGTCCAGCTCGAAACAGCACCAGATCTACTGAGAAGCAGCATCTGGTGGATGGTAGGAAGGAGAGAACCTCAGCTGGAAAGGCAAACTGTAATATATATGGCAAAAAGCTAGATCCAACACCTGGCAGCATCTGGAATTGAATATTAGGTCTGTGCTAGAAAGGGTGTCATGCCATCTACACTGATAGAATGCCACTGTCTTACTCTCAACAGTGGCTAGGAACTGGTAAATGACAAGGACTTCCATACTCCACTAGACGAAGGAGGGAAAAAATGCATTTGGGAGTCCAGAGGATCACAGCGCCAGACGCAGTGCAATTAGTGACTGCAATACCCTTTTCGAAAAGCAGAGCTAGCATGTTTACAGAGTTGATCAACCAACACCTGGTGGCATCTGGAATTATACATCACGTCTGCAGTAGGAAGAGTCTCAACACCACAGAGCATCAGAGATGGGCAGTAATTCCTGCCTGCTTTACCTATGTAAGTCTATGAGTGTATGGTTTGAGACAAACATATTTATGAAGCAACAGGCCATGAGATACAAACTACAAGTGGTCCTATAGAACACCCCATTTCTACGGTGTGCATAACATGATCCTGGGACATTTTATTATGTTTTCTGCAATATTTGTGATATCGATGCATAGATGACAATTGGACGGAATCAATCAACCAACACCTGGTGGTATCTAGAATTGTACATCAGGTCTGCAGTAGGAAGAGAGTCAATGTGATAGACATTTAGCATGGTCACAGGACATATAGTGCAGATTTTAAGATTAAGTATACCTGGTCAGGCATCACTTACCACAGAGTGGAATCCAAAACATATATAGCAAAAGCCCTCATAAAGAAAAATAAATGGATAGTCCACATACCTGCCGTGATAATGTCCACCCAGGGAAGACAGAAAAGGGCAGCCAGGGACAAGGTAAGGTGACAGATCTGATGGGAAAAAAGACGACAAACATCCAAAGAAAGGCAAATCCAACCTCTAAGGGGAATGGGAGAAAAATCACAGGAAAAAGTAGGATTACAATGAAGAAACAAACAGGCCCAGGAATCACAGGAGGAATCAGTGTGTATCATATAACCTCATCCTCCACAAACTAAGAGGGAAAACCTAATAAGGGGCCTGATTATCCCCATGGTGAATAGTGAAAGGACTAATAAATGGTACGATTGAGTGATGATAGAGAACCAGTCCCCTAACTTCGTGGGATAACAAACAGATGAAAATAAGAACCACAAATACAGGTATCTCCTCATAAATAACCTTGCAGGAAATGGAAACCTGAGGAGAAGGGAAATTCTAAAAAGGACTAGACCAAATTTGATAACCTCAAAACCCAAAGTTCTGAGAGAAATTATCTCCAACTTGGGTAAGTTTGTTTAAAACATTGTTGTACCATGTCTGATGGAGTAAGAATGTTTGTATAATGTAGAGCAAAGCCAAAATGGACCAACTGCTGATTCCACCTTGTATAATTGAAACCTGAACCCTAGTGCTGGAAATCCATATATATATAATGTTGTCGCACTGAGTGAAGTTATGCAACAGAGCTGATCTAACCCTGGGCTCCCAAGATACAGAAACGCACCCCCCCAAATCATCTGGTACAAAACAAAAGTGCCATACCCTAAAACCGAACTATGGGGGTTTGATCCTCACAAAGGGAAAAGCTACTCCAAACTCTGCAAAGCCTATGGAGGGAGGTCAGAACGATGTGCCAGAGCAAGGTTGTCCAAAGAATTGAGGTCAAGGTATACATATCTCCAAACTAAACTGGTCCCCAAAACTACTCCTGGGAATCCCAATAACCCAAGTGGAGCAGGGAACACTAAAATTTACCTCACAGCTCATCACTGATAAGGGCAGGTATAGAATGAAAAGAAATGGAAAGGAATGAGAAAATATATCATACCTGATTGAATAGGTCTGCCAAAGGGAAGGAGGCTTGTACACCTCCCCTGAAATGACATATGACTATGAGTAATAAGCAGGAGGAGGAACTAGGCAGTTCAAAACCTCATCCTAATGTACAGGCTATGCATTACAAGGTATAAGAGAATAATCATCAAGTGCCTAGAAGCCTGCAAAAATGAAGCCAACTCCCAGCAAACTAGCCATTACCTCCAGAGCCTCAACATGCTCAGATGGCTTTGAAGTGGTAGACAAATCAGCTGTATTAGTTACAGCCAATGAGGTAGAAACCATATGGAATTGTGCATTTATGATGAGTGGTGTAGACAGAAAAAATAAAGAAGTCTCATAATGGTTTACAAATCTCGAAAAAAGTATGTGGCTAAAAATCAAAACTATAAACTGTGGCAATTAAGCAAAAAAAATCAGTCTGAAAACACAACCAAAACACCTTCGAACTGTAAGACTGACAACTGAGAAGTGATTAAGAGCTGCAAGATTAGAGAGGGAGCTGTTTTTATGATAGGGGTAGTGTCACACTCCTATTGATGGAAAGTTGCTGCATAACCATTTGCAAGTTAGTGTGCAGATGTCTCACATTAACATATGTGAGGGTAAGTGGGAGTATCAAGACTAGTGGCAAACGAAATTTGGCTGATAGAGAGCAGTTTAAGTCGTGAAAGTTTTTTGTGAGAGTAGGTAGGGTATCATATCAGAATTATCATTTTAATAATAACACTATTGAACTTCTTACAAAAGTGTCCAAAACAATAAATCAATTCTTGGTAAGTGTACTCATATACCAAAATATGAAAAGAATTACTGACAGCAGTACTTACAAACCAGAAGAAGTAAATAATTCTGATTAAAAGTACTTACAAACCACGAAGAAGTAAATAAATTCTTGACAGAAGTACTTAAAAACCAAAACAAGTAAAGCAATATGATGTATAAGTGCATGAAATACAAAAGGTTCTATAGTTTTTACTAAAAATTTTGACTAACACAGTTTTTGATAAATGTTCAGTTCACAGCTTAATTATTGGTTTATCAAGAAACTGTTTAATATCTTAACTATTAAACATAGTTAATATGAAAAATAAGACAGTCTAACTGCATATAACCTTTGAAGAAGGATAGCTAGTTAACCACAATCTGAAGTCAGGGTGAGTGTTTTCAGGTGACAATTCTTCACAGATTCTTTCTAATATTGGCATCCATGACACTGCCAGGTGGCAGTTTTGTAGTGCCACCCAAGATCCATTAACTCTAGCTCTTTCAATCATTTTTTGTGCAACTGGACCCTAAATAAAAATATGAAAACATTCATTTATCTCAACCATAAAAAAGGATTATCTTATCAGTAAATGATAATTATTTTTCAATGTTAATGACAAAAAAACTCATGAGCCAGTGTATATTTCCTCTATACAGGTGTGAAATTACACTGCTGGAATAAAGTTAAAAGTAATGGTTGGCATATATTACTAGTATTAGATTCATCTAAAGTAACTAAACAGTGAATTCTTGTAAAAAAAACAAATAAATACAAATGTCAAAGAAAGCCAAAATATATAACAAATATCATTGAAAATATCATTAATTAACAGAATGCAAAGAAAAGTATATTGAATTAACTATACTCATTATCAGGTCAATTTTTAGTTTGTTCTATGCAGATTGGAAGTTAATATTAATTATCTATTTTTATACCATTAACTATCTTCAAAAACGTTTTAAAAATTGTTTAAAAGACAACAAATGTTGCTTTCTGTAGTTGCTTGTCCATATATTAAAACCATAACACTGAATAAGTTTACTAATAAAAAATAAAACATGCACAAAATAGAACATAAAGACACCATTAAAGAAGAGGGTAAAAAAGTTCTATTTTTTTACGTTTTAAGGAAGACAGTGCAGAAATTGTAAATGTTAACATAGAGTATATATCAAATGTTTTAGTATCACAGAGATGAAGGAGAGTAAACTGTTCAGTGCACATATAACTGAAAAGGTGTGAACAAGGCCTTTTTAGTATATTTGATATTTAACAATAAGACATCTGAAGACACAATAATAATAGCTGTCAAAAAGTTTTATGAAATCATAAAGTGTGATTGGTTAAAAATACTAAAATAAGGACAACATCAATAAAACATGTCAGGGCTTTTTACAATATTCCACTTTGGACGTTTTGATTTATGATTAATTTTATATTGGGATATTTCTACATTTTATCAATAATTTACATTTTGTATCATATTGTGCTTGAACACTGATTTTATTTGTTTCCTTTTTTTGTCATACATTAAGGTTTAAAATAACAATTTAGTTGTTAGCAACTTTAAAAACACATTATAATAATTATTTTAAAAATGTTAATGTACTTAATAAAATCAATTTTTGAGACAATAATTAAAAATAAGAACTCATCTAAACTTGTCCTGTTCCTGAAGAAGTTTCTTTTATAAAATACATGCTGGCAATCAACATCATGCTTGTATTGCCTCATGATTTCCAAATACGATACATCTACACCTGCTGTAGTTAATTCTACAAAACTATCCAGCACTAAACTTAAACTCATACTATCATGTAGTACTACTTATCTGATATTGTTTACTTCTCTTTACTGCATTCATTTTTTTAGCAGATGAAACTGAATGGGTCTAAAAAGCACCTAGCTGATATCAATTATAATAAACCTATAGCTGTTAGAGGTCATTTAAGTATCATAACCTAGAATGTGTAAATTTTCTGACTCACTGAAATAATATAATAATATACTCCAGAGGTTTACTGAAAAATCTTCATGACAAAGTTTCAACAAGAACAAACCAAGAAAACAAGACTAGTTTTCTTATCGTGGTGGAATGTACATCATATGTACGATGAATTTTCTTATATTCAATACATATTAATACAGGTTTTCATTAATGTTGTTTGAGTTGAAAGCAGCACCATGGGATATCTGCACTCTGTCCATCATGTAAAAACCAAACCTCAGATTTTAGCATTTTAAGTCTGTAGACTTAATAACATTTGAAGAATATGTAGGATTGACAACATTACTTTAGTCTTCTCATATAATCTGTTTAAGATATTGTTAAATAACAATTAACCCTATGTGCATGGCTGTGAATCAAAGTGCACATGTCATGACTTTTACAGAGTTACATTCAAAACTTAATTAAACAATTTTGTTATAAATGTATGTCAATAAAATTATAATCAAAACATAGTTTATAACTAAAATTTTCATATGATATAAGCTTTAAAGGTTAATGTAACAAAAAAATATTTAAATAAATTCTCAATCTCAATCTTCACTTCTATGTGTCATGTGATACCTCTCTGCTCTGAATTTTGCATTTTAGATTTTCTTTCCTCCCTATATGTGTTTCAGAATGTCCACCAATTACATACACCAACTATAAGTATTAACAGGCTAGAATTTAAAAGAACCTCCTACCTTCTATATTTTATGAGATATTAATAAATTAATTACATACATCACAAAAACTCCTACCAACTCTTCATGTTTTTAAAATTACTTATTTATTTACACCTACTTGTCAATGAAATATACATATTGTTATGACAGCGGAAGTCACGTGACGCTGGGAGCATGTGTGGCGAATTACTCAAATAATCGGGGAACTGCGCGAATGTCGGAGATGCCTCTTTGTTAGTATATGAGCCTGTCAGAGAAAAGCCAGAAGATGATAAAGCGAACAGTAATTATGGTGAGTTTTGGGTAATTTATTATTCTGTTTCAAGCTAGTGTGTATTTTGCACTCGTAGAGAGTGAAGTTGTCGAGATTGTGAATCGCTGTGATTATAGCGTGTA